TCATTGAGAATGAATAAAAGCAATAAGCCGCCCTTTTACTCATGTAATGTGTGGATAAGTTGCGCCAGAGTGTTATATATAAATCCACGGTTCATGACATAAGAATCGCGCGTAACCCATCCTGTTAGAAAAAAATATGCCCCGAGAAGGAAATTATATATGAATTTAAAAAGGACGGGTTTGACTCAAAATCGAGAAAGGAGAAAGTAACCGTTATTCTTAAATAGAATGAAACCTAGGGAAGAATATAGACAACAGGAAACGGGCAGAATGTAGAGGAAAATATAAAGGTGGGGAGCCTACCCATAAGCCTTGAGCGCCCCCATAGACGAATACAGGAAGAAGGAAGTGCATCTTCAGACGTGAGACTACATTTAGAAGAGGTGCGAAGATTGGAATGTGAGCTGAACATATGTTTTTTTAAGGAATTATTCACAACTGAAATTCGTATTTCACTAAATTTAATCAAGAATCCAGACTATCATACTTTAAATTGAGAGTCTTCATCAAAGACAACTAAGCGTACACTACAGTATAGGTTGACAGCCTCCAAGCTGCGTATGAAACCGAATGTATTCTTCTATTCCAGCAACGTAGAATTATTCTGAAGCCAAAGAATATGGAATTAGTCATATCCGCGAAAACTTCGAAAGTTAAGGATCATAGGTGAGTTGACAGGACTTTAATATTCGCGCGCTTTATTAAGAGCACTACTGAACCCCTTCTGTGGTACCATTTATGAATTGTATCAAGTCTTATTCCAAAACAATCCTGTAAAAAATATTTGAAACTCCCGCCGAAAGCATAGCAGCATCTAGGTTGGAATAGTATGAGCAGCTACAATCTATATATCTGGCAGCCTACAACGGCAGACTGATTTAGTTGTGATCTGGACGATGTGAAAGATTTTCCCCACCTCACTTTATCAAAATAACTATAAAGAGCAACCTTGATCACTACAGATCCTTATGATTCCGTCACTGTCTCACAGGAATGATCCCTCCAGAGTGTAATTAATGTGATAAGAGTATTCTTCTCTATCACTAAATTCCTAGTCCTAAGAAATATATCATCTCCTTAAGAATTAACATCTCTATGGATTAAGCTAAAACCTAAGTCTGGGCATATTACGAGAGTATACAATTGTTTTATTTATTTCTTACACGTATTAAGGAATGATTCATTTCCTATTTCATCTCAGCTTTCGATCTTGTTCTGTCATATTAACCTTAGGGAATCAACAAAAGAGTATATTACATACAAGAACCCTTATTCTTTACGATTGATTAACAGGAACAGGCTAATATAACAGAAATCCAAGAAGATTTTATCGGCATAGTGAATGATTGGATTTATTCCGATTATTTGTTTATTCCTTTCTCTCGTTCGGCTAATATTTAAGAACCAAGAATGAGGAGAAACACGCTCTACAATTATACGTCGTTTTCTAGTCCAAAAAATAAGGATCTCATGATATATTTCCTATGATTCCCACTGTATTAAATAGAGAAATCATTATAGAAGGTCTAATTAATTATTTATCAGAGGATATGAGGGTATATAACTCATATTATGGAAACCCCGATCTATAATAGAAACATTAAGCAGATTAAGGTAAAACAGAAGAGAAGTACTATAATGAACATCCCAAAAAAATAATGTGTCTAACAACACCTAAGTATTATATGATTTGAATGTACATTAATAATTAGTAGAGTTCTAAAGTTAATAGATAATAAGAAGAAACTGCTTAGTGTTCTATCCTAATCAGGATTAGATTTCAGTTAGTCCCTAGACCCAGACGAAAATTCCCTCCACAACAAGATCATGTAATTAAGTTACGGAAAGAGTAATTGTGGAATGATGGTGAAATCTACAGAAGATCTAATCAGAATAAATTCCAGGCACATCCCGTATAAATTATAAGAAATCGTCTAAGCCAAATCTTTAGTCCTTACCTCTTTTTATTTCCTCGTAATAAGACGCCGCATATAAAAGGTCATATATAGAAATTCCTCAGGTGAATCTGATAGTCAGGTAGGAACAGAACCTTTCTTAACAGCACTTTTAAGAAGGGCTTCAGCAACAGGAGCCAACCGACCCGCCAATAAATTCTTAGGAGGAGCCTCTTGACAGCAGATTAATAATTCCTATGGGACAAGTGAGAACCTGACCGGATTGTTTGATATATAAAAACTAAGACCAGGTCATGGCAACCTTAACATCAAGAGCAGATAAATAAGAGGCACCCACCTTCTAAAGACAACAACATAAGGTGGTGGTAGATACCAAGCCAGAAGAAAACTCAAGGGCAACATCAATCAGTTATGGGGCCTCCTAGGGAGGCGGAATAGAGGGACCAAGGCATATGGAGAAAAGAAGACCGATAAAAATCGCGGATGCTAGGAGGAAGGAACCGGTCATAGGTGGCAGAAACACAGCAGACCAAGTTCTATCCAGTATATATAGAAAACCACTAGGAGTGGAAAAGACTGAGAACCATAAATTCGCTAAAAAGAAGCCTGGAGAATCAAAAATATCAAGCACCACGCGAACCGAACCTAGGACTTCGATTAATTCCCCAGGGAGTCCAAGGATAACATCTTATAAGTTAAAGAAGAAAAACCAACCCCACTCCCAAGAGTTGAGCCGACAAGATTAGGTCAGTCCGAAGCGAGAGAAGGAGGAAAAGTCCACCAATCCTAACAAGAGCAGGAGACTGAACAACGACTAATACCAGACTGATCTTGACTAAAGTATCACCCAGCAATTTAACGAAACTATCCAAATGATTAATATCGTCGAGATTGTAAAAGGACAGAACCCAAAAGGGAGAAGGAGGGCATAAGTCCACAAAGGACCATGAATAACACAAGAGCCCGGAGTAAAGAACAAGGAAAAACAAGTAAGTAAACTTAAGTACGGCAAGATACCCAAATAGGTAGAACAGTGCCGTCCCAAGCTAGTACCAAGAAGACAACAAAAGCCAAGCAAAAACTTCAAAGAGTCGATGCCACAAGCCAATGGACCACTAGCCTCCCGGACAAATAAAAATTCTGAGATCAGGTCAGAGACTGAAGAGGCTCTCAGGGTAAATCATCAAGAACGTGACAGAAGGCTCCGGACAAAAGGAAAAGAAGCAGATAACAGCTAATAGAACCCAAGGAAAAGGCATGTTAGAGGAACCTCAGATTCTAACAGCAGAGCAGCTACCGCCGAAAAGAGTTGATCGAACAAGCGAAAGGTAGGATAGAAATCAAGTCTAGACAGAAAAATGGCAGGGATAACCCCAACAGAGCCAGTTCTGTACCCTCCTTTTCACAGCTGAGACGACTAAAAACCAGGGGAACATCAACGGCCTCGACGCACAGAGCCCAGACAAGAAGCTAGACCTAACACCTAACCCCCCCAAGAAGAGCGCCAGAAGCGGGATAACTAAAGACCAGCCAAGGAGAACACGGGATCCCTCAAAAGAGTTCACTGATGCCATTCGCTCGACCCCACCCGAGACGACTTCCCATTTCCGGAAGGTACAGAAGAGTCTCAACTTCAGAATAAGGAAACAGAGACCAACATGCCAAAAGCGGCTGGATCCAATATTCAAAGAGGACAGCGAAACGTGGACCTCAAGGGAGATATAAGCAGGAGAATAAGATCAGAGTGAAGTGAGGGACTGACAAGGGGCGCATAAATGAATTAAGCGGACCCTGACGGGAAAAATCGAGACTGAGCAACTGAAGCCAAGGGACAAGAAGAAAGAAGCGGCACTCAGTAAAAGAAAGATGAACGAAAGGGGTAGACGTTCCCTGGGAGGCAGAGAAGCGGATTAAAAGACGACGTGATAGAGTTAAGGCAAATAAGAAGAATTACACCGAGCCCATAAGTAGACGGGAGAATTAATGAATGATCTTATCTTGATGAAGTCAGATGTAGTCCCCCCAGCTCCCCAGCTAAGGAGCTTCAACGTGCAGGCTCCAGTGGGGGAGAGTATAGCGTGGGATGGCTATCCCCAGTGATAAGAATGCAATAAAGGCTGAAAGGGACTGAATTAACACAACAAGCTCCATACTGAGTGAAAGTTCACTCTAAACATGCTAGTAGATGACACGACAAGGAATCGGAACCCGCAGGAGTTATAGGTAGGATCAAGAAAGAAGAGGCTACTGGGGACCACTCGCCCTGCGGGAATCCGGGGGGGCCATCTTCGAAGGAACATAAAAGCAAGTCAAGAGTAGCCTCCAAGAACAACCCATCAACGACGCCGCCACGGGCCAACCAAGTATAAGGAGAGAGAACCTACCTGGGATTAAGGCCCCGAAAGGAAAATCCTGACGAAAAGGAACACATTGGAGCTAGCCTAAGGGTGAAAAATGTCAACAGAAACAGGTAGAGGAGAAAACGAGAACCTTATGTGGACCTCCAACTGGAAAGTGACCATCCAGAACCAGACCTCACTAGGGAGCCTCCGATCGAAAATTCCTCCAGGAAGAAGGATCAGAGATTCAGCAAGAAACTTAAGCCGAAGGAATAGGACTCGAAAGACTCAGTAAGACAGAGAGACGGACGAGCAGGCAACATCAAAGGAGGGACTACCCCGAGTCAGATAGTCCTGAATGAGAAGGACAACCTCGGAGGAGTCCCCTCCGATCCGAGGATCAACAAACAGGAATAAGACGACAGAGAGTGTTAGTAGAGTAGTTTAGATAGATGGAGCGAAACACTAACCGATCTGAGCAGGTCCAAGAGGGTACCATTCAGGCCAAGCAATCAAATGTGACTGGACAAGAAGCCCCCCCCTGAAAGTGACAACGAAGTATAGTAGAGCTAGACAACGGGCCGAAGGGGCAGTGAGGGTAGGGGTTGAGTAACGAAAAATCCGAGAAGAGATGCCCAGGAGCTGACAGTTCGTACAGGACCACCAAGAGCAGAAGGAAATGGATGATGAGAATCTCAGACCGCAGAGATGAGAGTCCTACAGGGAAAAATTAACGTGGGACAACTCGGATAAGAGTGAACAACGAAGAGGAAAGGGAACTCCAATACATTATCCAACCAGTTAAAGAAGGTGAGAAAGAGTCCCCCCCAATCTCCCGAAACATTACGTCTGAATTTCTGAAGGAGGGAACAGAGTAATAGAAATAAAACCGACAGACGAGCAGCCAAATTTGCTAAGGGATGCTAGGACGAGAAACAAGGGGAGCCCTCCATCCTGAAAGAGACCCGCTAACTAGCAGGAGGAAGGATGGTCGGAGTAGGTACTGACAAGCAATAAACAATTAGGAAGATGGATCCGAGAGGACAAGCGTCAGGAGGGGACAGAGAACATGACCTAAAGCAGCCAACGGGGAAACCACGTTAAAGAGAAGGACGAGGTCCATCAACTCAACCTTCCCGAAGAGCCAAGTGATTTAGCCATGATCAAGAGGACGAATAGGAATCATCTTCAGAGATCGTCATCATTAGGGTCAATTGAGGACGTCTGGTAAAGTAATCGAGGTAAATCCCAGCCACAGGAAGACATCGGGGAGTATCTGAAAGTAGAAGCACTATGGAGAACCGAGCACAGTAGAAATAAGTCCAACCTGACGGCCCAGTAGATTAACAAAACAAAGGAAGCCAAGAGCGTCGGGGGACGAAGCTTAACCAGGGAAATCCCACACGTCACTCTGGGTGGATATGATTAACTGAAGAAGCAAAGAGGAGGTGTAAGCCGAAGTTACCCAAAGAGAAAAGTGGGGCTAGAGGGCCAACAGCGTTTCGCAAAACAACAAAGGACCGACTGGAACTTTCAGTCCCATATCTTTATCCTGCACAAGAAAGAGTGAATAAGTGAAAGGGAAGCTGCTCAGCTCGATAAAAGTGGTCCACACTCCCCTCAACTAGAGCACTGAGTGGGGAATTTAACGGGCAAGACAAATCAGGGACCACAGGCCAAAGCCTAACCACCAGACAAGATTGCGGAAGTGGGGTCCAGAAAGCCTATATGGCAACCGGATGAACCGATGGAAAGAGCCGAAAGGAAGAGTATTAATAAGGACGGAGTCGGAGGTGACAGGGGACAGTGAGTATCTGAGGAATGGATTAGAGGATCGTGAACTCCTAATAGGGAAGTGGCTAACCAACTAGACGCGAAGAGAGGAAGTAGAAAAAAAAAGGGTTCCGCAAGGGGGGAGGAAATATCTAAACCACAGAGGAGGGACCCAATATGTAGAACGAATGGCGAAAATAAGATCACGAAGGAGTCACTCCCCAACGAGGAGAGTGGGAGGCGATCTGAAGATAATTAGGAGTTGACGGATAGTTAAAGGGGAGTAGGGATAGAGAGGAACTAAACCTCTCGGGACAGGAGGTTACGAAGGGGGCTTAGGGAGAAAGACGAGAGCTACAAGTTGCTCAAGGGTCCCTAACATGCCCGAATTGCAAAACAGGTGAGGTAATGTAAGCTAGGAGCGAACAAAGGACAGATGTCGGGGCGGCAGGAACTCTGGCGAAGCAGGACGTCACTCTATGAACGTAACCGGAAGGACGAAGATGCAGGGTCTACACCCCAGGGCTCGTAAAGGACTTCTGTCAACATTAAGAGGACTAAAGCTCAAAGCAAGGAATCAGGGGCAATTCTGACACTGGAGAGCGGAGGGAGGGCTCAGAAGCAATGACGGAGCTGTGGAGAATATCCACTTAATCCAGGGAAGGCAGAAGCCTTCAAGCCTACGACCTGACCACTGTTCGGCCCCGACCCAGGCAGCCGTTTAGTCTAAATAGGGTCTAGGGCACGTAAGCCTGAACCAAAGGAAGAAGGAGCCCCCCAACCAGACTGAAGGGTTAGAAAAGTTCCAGCACGGATAGACGAACACGCGGCAGCCCCACGCCTAAGTCTAAACTAGATTCAAAGAGGTCAGAGACAGAGTAACCTAAGTCGCCCAGCGAAGGGGAGCCCCAACACAGCTGACTACGAAGGAAAATCTTTGAATGAAGTACCCAAAGATTCCTGAGAATGGATGCAGATCAAAATATATGGCCAGTAAGACTTAAAGACGAGTTAGAGCACTGGACATTCCCGAACCAGGGACCTGGCGGGAGGGGATGTCAGTGGGAGGAAGGGGCATATTGCCTCCCCAATTTCTCAGGCAAGGCCGAGGCCGTAGGGGGGGTTTTGGGCAAGTGGGGGGTGATGTTGACGAAGCTCAAAACCAGCCACCAATGGGCAGAACTCACCCGTGAGGAACATCAAGTCGTGAAAGAGTTATTGGGGGGAGGATCCTCCGGCGTCGAGTGGAGAGGACTTCTGAGCTGTATCATCTCCAAAGCTTTAGAAATAAAACAAATAAAGGTGAGGGCAGGGGGGAATTGGCTTCAGTTGTGGAGCAACCAAAATTGGGCAGAGGCTCTCAACAAGGGGGTAGTCTCACCGTGGAACCAAAATACTACCGGACAAGCTATGTTTTTGGCAGTGACCTGTGTGATAAGGGCATTAATAGGTTACCAAGTTGGTGGCAGAAACCAACAAAAGAATAGTCAGGCACTCTGCGGAGAAGTCTGGAATACCGTGAAGATTAACTTGCCAAAAACTACTAAAGAAATTCAGGGAATCCATGTTAAATCACTAGAACAATTCCTAAGCCTAGTCGGACCCAACTCCCAGGACCCTCTAAGCCCCTATGGGTCAATCGGGCTACTGTTGACTATCTATTATGGGTTGATAACCTGCGGAAACCACAAACCTCCTTATGACTTAACAGGACTTATAAATACAAATGGTTGGGATCTGGAGAAGCTCGGAAGCTGTACACTAAACAAGAGCATCTTTAGTTGTGGGGGAGGAACAGGCGAAACTGATCAACCAAGGATCAATATCTGGAACAAAACGATGGCAAAAGTGGTATCAGAAGATTCTGATGAAGAGTCGGGGCTGAGTAAATTAACACTGGTGACAGAGGATACTGAAGACCAAGTCGCAAAGCGCAAAGCGGAACAGCAGAGGAGAAATAACGAAACGGCGGAGAAGATAGCGGGTGGGATGAACGCCGCTCATAACCAAGCAAAGGAAACACAGACCGTGTACGGGCCGAACTCCAACAGCTTAAGCGTTCACTTAAGGGAGCCAAGACACTCAAGAAGCCTGCCCCCAGCGACTCAAGGATCAACACTCCAATCGCAGCACTCCCGAGTGAGATCAACCACCGAAGCGACAAAAGTACCAATCCCAGTAGGGGGCCATGACGAAACAACTGAGGAGCAGGAGCCAAGTCAGACAGGGCCGTCTGAACCGCAAGAGGAGAAACTCCTCAGTTTCAGAGGGCCTTCCTCCGAGGAATTTGAGGTTTCAAAAGGACAAGCTGGAGATGAGAAGGAACAGACCTTGAACGTAGAAGGAAAGACTCCCTCAGCGTATCCAACCCCATCCCTTAACCCCTCAAAGTCCACTGAGGGTATTGGCGGTATTCTGGGGGGAATTATGGGAATTCTTCTGGCCCTGGGGGGTATTTATGGTTTATATCGGGTGTATTTTCGGAAACCCAAGCCTTTCAAGGACAGACGCCAACAAACCCAAGCAACCACCCGAAATGTAACCTATGGTCAAATCGAAGTAGATTAGAGTCCATGAGTGAAGGGTCTGACCCCAGCGGGAACTCATGAGGAATCTGAAAGTACTCTAACACATCTCCCACAGCGCCAGTGGCGTCTAGAGTCTGTCTCAATGGACGCCAGCTCGACCGGGCAGGAGCTACAAGCTCGGGCGAATAACGGGTCGGGCCCGCCCGGGGCCCACCACAGGGAGCCAGGCACATCCAATTCTGGTTCGAGGTAATGGCGTTTAGGTTCCGAGACCTGATGGCAGGAAGCCGTCGGTGGGAGGGGCAGTACGACGTTATGAGTTCAGGGTTACGCGTTATGTGTTAGGGGGGTAGGATTGCGGATGAAAGGTTGGAGTTTGAAGGTTGGGCTTCAGGAATTCTGAGTAGGGAAAGACGATGACAGGGACTGAAGTACGTGAGAGGTAAGGAGGCCTTGAAGGTTAAGGGTACAGGTGTTCGAGGTTAGACTTAAGGATCCGGTTTCAGGTTCAGGGGTCGGGGATCAGGGTTTAGGTTTAGGGGTCAGGTTTTAGGGTTCAGGGTTTAGGGTTTAGGGTTCAGGGTTTAGGGTTTAGGGTTAGGTTTAGGGTTTAGGGTTCAGGGTTTAGGTTTAGGGTTAAGGGTTTAGGTTTAGGGTTAAGGGTTCAGGGTTTAGGGTTCATTGTTCGGGTTTAGGGTTCAGGGTTTTGGGTTTAGGGTTCAGGGTTTAGGGTTCAGGGGTTTGGGCTTAGGTTTCAGTGTTTTAGGTGTTCAGGCTTTAGGGTTCAGGGGTTAGGGTTTAGGGTTTAGGTTTAGGGTTCAGGGTTTAGGGTTCAGGGCTCACGGTTCAGGCATTATGGTTACGATTTAGGGTCCAGGGTTTAGCTTTAGTCTTCAGGGTCTAGTGTCCATGTTTCAGGTCCTAGGGATTCTGTTTTATGTTTTAAGGTTCAGGGTTTAGGACTCAGTTGCTAGGGATTAGGCTTCAGGAGTCAGCTCTAGTGTCCAGGAGGTATCTGTTGTTTCAGGTGGATGGGTTACTTATTACTTTTTATGGTTTATGGTCTATCCCTTAGGTATTAGGGCTTTGGGCTTAGTTGTTATTGCTCAGTTTGTCCTTATTAGATCCTCCCCTCAGGTTCCAGGAGGTACGGCTTATTGATAGGCTCTAAGAGCCATGCACTATTCTTCAGGTCCTAGGGGCTGGCGCCACGTTTTAGGGGTAGGGTTGATCGTTCAGGGTTTGTTGGTACGTTTTATCTGTTACGGCGCTGGGCTTAAGTTTCTGTCTCAGGCCCTTTGCTCCATTTGCTAGTTGTTGGAAGTTAAGGGGTTGTGACTTCACTTCATCGTTCAGGGGGTCAGGGTCCAGGGATTAGGTTTTACGGTTTCTTATTGACTTTTCACGAGTCATTCGTTCTTGAAGAGTCTTGTATCTTTTTGGTTCCAGATTATAAGATTCACATTTTATGGGTTAGTTCCTACTTGTCATGGCCCAGGATCTGGGGAAGTTTCTCCGCTGTTATATTGCCTGCTGTTTGCGTGATGGGAGTGTTGTGACGAATTTGGGCCTTAGTTTTTGTTTTCAGTCCTTAATCTTCATCTCAATCGTCCTTTTGGTGTCCTTCTTGTTTTTTAGGACTGGGGTTTCCCGGGTTAGGCTTAGGACCTAGGGAGGGTTCTTTTGATTCATCCTTTGTATTTTCTTTCTTGGCTGAAGTGTATTCTTGTGGAGCTCAACCCGGAAGGCCTGGGTTTCTCTCGGATTTTTGTGTTTAATTTCTATCTTTGGGAGTTAAAGCATCTAGATCTAGGGACTACATGCATGGGTCTTTTTCCAGTTGTCAGAGAGGCGCTTTCAGGGATCTAGATTTTATAGACTCTCGGCTAGGGTTTCGTCGTTCCCTGGTATTGATTATTTTTTGTTCCTTTTTGGTCATCTGTTTTGATTTGGAGCTTTGTGGGGGCTTCGTTATTGCTCAGTGGGGAGTTAGGTTGGAGTGAGGGAGGAGGAGGGGGGGATTCGCTTCAGTTTCTTGATTTTGTTCTCATTTCCTATTTGTCCTTTCTAGTTGGAGGTTTTTTATTTTTCCTTTGTATTGATCAGGGAGCTGCAGCTTGGGTGTTAGATCTTGTTTTGGTGTTATCTGTTAGGTTTCATTTTTTAGTGATCTCGTTAAAGGCTCCACTCTTTAGGGATGACTTCCTTGCATCTGTTGTCTAGGGGTCATCGAGGAGATTGTAGTATCTCGCAGTTAGAGTTTAGGGACGAGGTGTCTGGCTTTATTCTTTCAGAGATGTTGTTGGTGATGAGATTTCATAGGCCGCTTGGCTTTTCCCCTATTGGGGATGGGTTAAAGCTTCTGACTTGCAGTTTAGTGTTGTCCCTCTATTATTTACTTGTCATGGTTTATCTCTAGGATGTATTCTGTAGTTGTTACGCTGATTCTTCTCTATTGCGTTTTTCCTGCCGCGAATTTACCCTTCCTCCCCTAATATTTACGCGTCACCATTTATTATACACGTGGGAAGCCTTATTGTTCATACTTTGCGTGCTAGGCTTCGTCTTATGGTCCGTTCTCCTCTTTTCTCGCCTTCTATTAGTGGCTGTCATAATTCTTCGGCTTAATGTTTTGGTGCTGATTCGGTTGTTCTACCTCTAGGCATGTTTCCCTACGGTTTCTTTATTTGCCTTAAGGCCTTAATTTGTTTCTTCTTTTCCTTCTATAACCTGTTTGGTGTAGTTTTGTTTAGCTCCCTCATTTGACTCACACCTCTGGGCAGTGGGTATAGGTAACCCCTCTTATTTCTCAGCTTTTAGCCGTTAGAGCTTATTCCTTAGTTGTTATGGCTCTGTTTCATATTTAGCCTGCCTTAGGTCAGTGTCTCTTTCCTTTCATCCAAGACGGACCTTTTGGGGGGGGGTTTTAATTGTAGGACTGCCGAGATATGCTAGCTGGCTCCGATCCGTAATTTTCCTGTTTCAATCGCTACTCCTCCTTCTTTACCTCTTGAATGTGATCCTGACGACTGAATTGATCTTGGCTAATGTGTGTAGGTGTAGCTTTCACATGTATCCTCAAGTCTGCTCTTTCTGTACGCCTTAGGATTAGGGGCTGGCTGTGGGTTCGTTATTTGGTCGTGATGAAGCTTTAGGGAGTGATGATAACGGATCTTACGTATCAAAATGAATTGGCCTTTATAATTCTTTGATTTTAGCTTCTACTAAAAAATAACTATCAATACAGTAAGTGA